TCGTTCCTCTAGAAAAGTTATTTTCAATCAAAAATTTACTTAATCATTCATACCATGCACGAGGTGCTTGTTTCAAACCATATAAAGCTTTTGATAGTTTAAAAACATGATTTGGAAAAGTATGATCTTCAAAACCTGGGGGTTGTTTAACATAAACTTCCTTATTTATAAAACTATTAAGAAAGACACTTTTTATATCCATTTAATAAAGTTTGAAATCTTCAAAACATGCAAATGCAAGTAACATGCGAATGGCTTCTAATCTAGCAACCGGAGCAAAGGTTTCATCGAAATCAATACCTTCTTCTTGATTGTATCCTTGTGCAACAAGTCTAGCCTTGTTTTTTATAATTGTGCTGGATTTATCAAGCTTGCTTCGAAAGATCCATTTGGTACCAATAATGGTATGATCTTTAGATTTTGGCATAAGTTCTCACACTTTATTTCTCTCAAATTGGTTAAGCTCTTCATGCATAGCTATCATCCAATGTTCATCGAATTCGGCTTCTTGAAAGTTTTTAGGCTCAGGCCTCGTTTGGGAAAAGGCTTTTTTAATAACTTTTTGACTTTTTGGCTAAAATATGATGTAAAATAAATTAGTATGCTTGGGATGACTTTTTAGCTTTTTACGAAAAGATGTACAAAAAGTTAAGAGAAAAATGAAATTTTTTTTTTCCCCTCCATTTCTGTTTCTCTCAATTCCTCTTTCATTTTTTTTTTCCCTCCATTAAATCTTTGCCATTTCTTGTTGTTCCATACTTGAAAATATATTGCATGATGTGTTGAAAGTATGATAACTTTGATATGCTAACTACAACAGTTCTTTCTAATAAAAATAAAACTACAAATTTGATTGTGACAAGTACTTGTGATAATCACAAGATAATGAATTTACAGAGAACATAAGAGCAAGAAGAACAAATATTTGTAATAGCTATATGAAAGAGAAATTGAGAGAGTTGAGAGAGTAATATTGAAAGAGGCTTCTGTATTATTAACACTCTAATTACAAATCAAATGGAGGCTCCGTTATATAGGAGAGCTGAATACAAACAGCATTATGATCTACATCACTAAAATAAGAAAAAGGCACAAGTGGGCGGCCGAAAGAGGCGACAAGCCGAAAGCATATTACATATTATATTATATACTAATTACAGACTAAATTATATTATATACGAAAGCAAGCTGTCTGTATAGTAGAGTATAATATTATATACATAAGTATATGAATATGTTAATATATATGTTATATGTTATATTAACCTATGTTAATATATTAACAGAGATAACCAGGGGAGGATTAATTTGCCTTCAAATCCACCTCACAAAATGTTTAGGCTTTTAGTTTACTTTCATCGTTTAATGTTTTTTGGAAACCTGCTTGTTATCCATGACATTTTGCTTAGTTGCTCCAATTTAGTGAACTAACCATGCCACCTCAATTTAATGTTTCCAGGATGATTTCTTACCAAGAACACCGACCCCGTTGGAAGATATATTCAAATCGCTCTTGTGGTGAGTTGTGTTCCATGTGTATGATAACTCAGAGACTGTATGAAGCCTTTCGAGTCTTTTGTTTACTTTTAGGTTGTCTGCCTTGTAGAGGTGTGAATTGTTATTATTATCTCTTAAACCAGGCATTAATGCTTTGGACAGCTTGCCCTGCTTATTATTTGCGGTTTGCTGGAGGGATACTTTCATACCAGAAGGCAGGAAGCTTAAAGATCCTAGAAGACTGTATGCACCCGGAAGAATGTATCATATTGTTGAGAGAAAATTTTGCAGGTACGTAAATCAGAACCATTGGCAATTTTATTTTAATGCCTCATCTAAGGTTTATTAGGATTTATCAAAATTTACCTTGCTTAGCCCCCTGAGTGATTTGTGTTCATGATTGGCAAAACTCAACTGATCCATCTACATTGATATCTCCTGGTCTTGCTGGTTCTTACTACTTTGAAGCCTATGAAATTTTCTATTTAATGCAATTTTAAAATTTCTCAGTGAGTTGCTTGGGGTCTTGTTCTAACCAGCTACTATGTATTTCCATTATTTAAATATTTTAAGTTTCATAATAATGTCGATATTTTCTTACTTCTTCATTCAGGCTTAACCAAACTGAGGATTTTAACCAGCAGCCTGTGTTTTATAATCAACATAGAATCTGAATCTGAAGCAATCAATAAAATAGACCATTTAACTGAGTGATATTATTGCTCATGCTTCTTCCATTGAGAACTCCAACTTAATGAATTTGTAACCATTCATTGTTAATGCATTCATAGGGGAAAAAAAGAAAAATAATTATATCACTGATGTAATGCCTTTTTATCCTTTATTGAGACACTTCTGGATAATTTCACCTTCAAAATACCATATGAATTTGTTTCAATTTGGAATTTATATTGGTGATAAGTATTTATGTTATGTGAAGATTAGTGATAAGTAGCATTGTACAATATGAAATTCCTAGTATGTAGAAGAATTGCTCATAGCATTTCCTCTTCTCAATTTTGCTATACAAATCCAGATCAAAGACTGGTATTGGTTAATGCGTCAAATCTTAATTTTGTATTTAGGAAAATTTTCCTGTTATTTGCTTAAGAATGTTCAGTAGCTAAAACAATCCTCTAGCATAGATAGGTTTCTAGTGCTCAAATTCAATTGTCATGTAATTGCTGTCCTTGAGAAGCACTTTTTCCCCTTTTTTCTCTTAACAAATTTGTTGGTAATTTACCACTGAAAATAGTTATTCTTGCTCAGAAACTAAGTCCTCCGTTGGTTCATGCACACAGATGTGGGAGATATCCTCCAGAGGTTAGAACTGCCATACCAGTAGATGGAAGATTTGAACATATTGTCTTATCGTGCAATGCCACAAAAGATCATGCAATTGTTTGGATAGAAAGGGAAGCAGAGAAGGCTTTGGAAGTAAGTGGAAATCAACTTTGCACTTCACTAGTTTGACATCATATAATGAGGTGTATTTATACTCTTACAAAAGGATTATTTATTTATTTGTTTTGAGCAGAAACTCAAACAAATTTCCCAAAGATTGTCACATAAAGCAATTTGACAATGTTCACATGGACTTTTGTCACATTAAGGTCAATGACAGATTCTCTCCTTCTCGGATTGAACTCTTGGCCATCAAATCTAAAATTTAAGGGTAGGCAAACTCAACCAAAAAAGATCATACACTTTACTAATTTTATAGCAATAATACAACATATACATATAATGATAGTGTTAAATACGAATATATAAAAAGTATTTGAAGGGAAGTATTGGACACACATCCCACACCTAGGGCTGCAAACAAGCTGAGCCGTGCCGAGCCGAGCTTTTGAGTGTTCAAGGGTGTTTACTAAGAATTAGTCAAGCTTGAGCCGAGCTTAAGTTGAGCTTAAATAATGGAGCTTGAGCTCGACTTGTCAAATATTTGATAAACTCGAGCTCAAGCTTTAAAAAAAAACTTAAATTAATTTAATTATTAGAATAAAAAATAGATAATTATGAGCAAAATATAAAAGAATGCTTATATTATTTTTATCAATCAAATATGTAAATTTACACAAACACAAACACAAACACAAACACAAATAGAAAAATAAAATAAAATAATAAAAATTTATTTGATATATTATTAAAAATAAATATTAATTTATTTTCTTTATGTTCAAGAGCCCTATCGAATTGAGCTTGGGGCTACTCGAGCTTAGCTCGATTAATAAACGAGCTTAAAAATTGAGCTCAAGCTCGTTCATTTAGTAAATGAACCGAGCTTGAGCTATTCATGAACAGCTTGGTTCGTTTGCAGCCCTACCCACACCCTTGTCCAAATGTCGTTTGAAGAGTTCATGTAACATAGTGTTAACCTTTTGAAAGGAGCTTTTTAATACTTTTTCCTTGGATGTCTATCACATCAAACATATTAGTGAAGAGTGTTGTGATAATTAAAGTATTAAAATTGATGTTTACCAAAGTTTCTTGGAGGCACTTTAGCTATTTTGCTATTGCAGCTATCTAGACCACCCTTGTTATGTGGTGAACCCTATAGACACCACCTCACCACCACAATGTCTACGAGCGAACCCGTTCAAGCGGCCCACCTTTATTCATCTATACCAGTTGCCATGCATGACCCAATAGGAACAATTTCAGTGCCTAGGCTAAGCTGGAGGCATATAGACCATGAAGTATGATTGTTTGACTTACTAGTGCGCTCAGCACCATAGTTGCGAGTTTCGGCACCAAGAAAATGATTCGAAGTATGAAAAGTTTAAGGCATGCCTACAATACTTCTCGGCTATAGACCATTTGATAACACCATTGCTCGGCACCTCGTCTCACTTGAATAAGCCCATTTGCCTAGCCATAGCCCTGCATACCTCATTCCCATAGGGTGTGCCAAGGAGCGACCAAGAGCACCACTTAGTCACTCCCGCTTGGTTGTAGCATAGCTCGGCTTGTAACTTGGCTATGTCTCACCTATGTACTCATCCCTTAGTTAGGATTTTTGTCATTACTACCATGGCCATCACTTGCCATCTTAGACTAAGGCCAAGTTTGGCATATTGCCAAAAAGCCAAAAAGTTATTCAAAAAGTTAAAAAGTTAACACTATTCACCAAAAGTCAACAATTACAGCTGCACAACTCCTAATCTTAATTTTTTCCTACAAATCAATTTTTATAATTTTTTATTACACATTTTTCCATAAAAAGTCAAAAAGTTAATCCAATAATCTATATTTTCTTCCTCAATTTTTTAGTCCAAAAAGACAAAAAGTGCACTTATTTAGGACACCCCAAACAACCCCTAAGAGCAAGGCCTATGCATTCACTACTCGAGTTCGTTGGAGGATTGTTGCTTGGAAACTAGGATTAAGGGCTCATCATGGTTGCTTGACTTGCTCCCCCTTAGGAAGAAGCAACTCTTCCTTGGCTGGTCTTAGAGAGAGGACATTGACCCAACACCTAACACCTTGACACCTTGAAAGAGGTATCATACACCCTCTAAGGTATCATACAACTCTGCAGACTGCACCTCTAAGGTATGAATCCTGGGATAGAGAAGTAGACCTCATACCTTCGCTGGTCAAGAAGAGCTGGCCACCTGTTGGGTGAGTTGGTCTCTAACAGTGTTAGAGCCTATATAAGGGAGTATCCACATACAGAGAAGACACAACTCCAGTTATCATCGTCCTCTATTCTGTTGACAAGGGTGTATAGCAATGGCACTCTATCTCTCACTCTAAGGCTGCCTTAGTTATATTCTCTGCCACTTCTAATAACTCTCAATTATTGAAATCCCCACCATTTTTCCAAAGGTTTAGGAATGATTATCTCTTTACCAAATATCTACAAAGATACTCCACTAGGAAAGAGTGGTGCTCATTTTACTTGGAGCTTTCGCTTCAACATGGAGGACCCACAACCTCTCATGGTGGCCGAGTGGTCACAACGATGTTAGAGCATTTGACATATCACCTGATAAACTAACCTAGCAAACGCTGAGCAATATCTCTCATTAGTTGGAGGTGTTACCTTACAAAATTAACAGTTCCTCATGGATGCCTAGCAGTGTTACAAAGAAGAGCCAACCCTCATGGAAGGCCATCCTGTTGGGATTGTTGTTATCTCGCCCTCAACTTCGAATCAAGTTCCTACACCCCAGGTGGCTTCCACTGCAAGAGTTTCTATTTGGATGGCATCAACACTATTACACGGACTCGGGTAGAACTCAACCCCAAAAGCTAGCTCAAGAGGTGGGGGTGCCCTCACACTTATATGCTTGACATCACTTTAGTACTCAGGTGATATAGGACTTTGCTTCGCATCTTCTCTCAAGCCCAACGTGCTCACTCGGTAGCACCTGTGGTGTGCAAGCTAGGGACATGCACCCTATCCATCCTCGCGTACTCCGGTTTTAATACCATGTTACACGGTTTTGGTTAGAACTCAACCACAAAAGCTAACTATTAAGGTGAGGGTGCCTTCACGCTTATATGCTTGACATCACTTTAGTACTCGGGTGATGTGGGACTTTGCTTCACAGGGGTCCTACTTGGCCAAGAGTTAGATGGGGTCGAGCACCTTGAGTACTATGTAAGGCGAGTAATCCAATGTGCTGAGGTAAGATACTATCCGATTGAGTGTCATTGTCTCGTCTTGGTCTTTTCTAAGATTAAGCTTTGTCACTACCTCCTTGCCCACACCATTCATCTTGTCACCAAGAGTGAATTGACCAGTTCCTCACTCGGCCAGTCGTCTCCGCAAGCTCACTCAGCAGCTGCACTCTTTGACTAAGTATGACGTCATTTGCAAGGTTCTGAAGGCCATCAAGAGTCGAGCTCTGGTTGACATATTGGCTCCCTTTCCTAGTGCGGAACACGAGCTGCCTTCAAAAGAATTTCCAAGAGAGGAGCTTCAAGCTGCTGAAGTAACAACAGAGGGAGACTAGAGCCTCAACTTTGAAGGCTAAACCACTTTTAAAGGTGGAGGAACCGGTATCATCCTACTCTCCCCTGATGGCGTCAAGTCAACTTCTTTTATAAGCTAGAATTTGGATACTCCAATAATGAAGTGGAGTATGAGGCTCTCGTACTTGAGCTCATAGCAACACTTCACACGATGATAACTGTGCATCAAAGGTGACTTTTGTAGTCAAACAGACGAACAAGAATTGTGCCATAAACCAGCCACCTCTTGCATCATACAAAACAATAGTACAGAGGTTAGTGGATAAATTTAACACAGTTAGAGTAGAGCATGTTCCTCGCTCTAACAACCACCACCTGGACTCTCTGAGGATGCTAAGGTGCCTGCTAGGGTCAGTTTTTAGTTAGCAAGCAACTTACTTTTATCTATTGTTGCTCCATTGGAGATGCTAAATGCTCCCTAAAATCAACAGATGTTACATTGTTAGCTAACTGAGGCTAGCCATTTGGCTTCGCGAGCCACTACTAATTTTTAAAAAATAATAATAAATAATAGCTGACCGTTGCCTCCCCGCTCTCTTTATAAAGAAATGAGCCTTGCGAGATAATGAGCTGCTTTAGCAATCACTATCGGAGCAGTTTTGTATATGTTAGGTAGTCAGCACGTTAGTCAACTTGGGCCCTGCTTTTGCCTATGTCACACTAATTTTGAAATCTTCAATGCAGATGCTCTCTCTCTCTCTCTCTCTCTCTCCATGGGTGTGCCTTTTTCTCAAAGGTTCTAATAGGTAGACAACCATCCTAAAACTTATACCCACACATTGTTTCTAGTTTCTTATTTATTTTTCCCCCCCTGTGGTTCAAACTAGAGATCGCAATGCACTTCAGCCGCTTACATTAAACAGTATAATGCAGTCATTTGCATTCACATTTGGTTTTGATTTAACCAAGACTTTTGCGAAGGACTGTTGTATTTGTAACATGGGCTTTTCTAGAATTGCATCACCTACAAATAGAGATATTAGATCGGTGTATAATAAAAGTAAAAAACAACTTAAAATCTATAAACTTGTGTTCTTTGTGAAAACATAATTTGTTTATTTCTATAAAAATGTGGAGTTACCTAATTTAACATTAGGAGATTCAAACTTATAAAAAAATATATATATTTATATTTGGAGATTCAAAATTTGTTCTATTCAATGCTATACAAATTCTGAATTAACTTGTTTGTAAATTTGTAGATTTTGAAATTTTAATTTGCCCAACCAAACTAGACTTGAGATTCTTAGCTATGAAATGTCTGGTTCTTGGAACCAACTTATCTAAGGCCACCTATACCATGATTGGTCTTGGATATTATAGGTAAGCAAAGTCTTAAGTTTTTACAATTGTTCTGAAGAAAAATTAACCGTTAAACTTATACCTTAACACAGAGAATGCCGGAATATCACAAGGAGACCACAACAGCAGCCCCAAGAGTACAAAAAATCGAGAGGTTGCAGACAATAGAAAAAGAACACAAGGATGCTTTGGAAAGAGCTGTTAGTTTGAACATACCTCATGCTGTGACTGCCGATGAAGAAGAGGAACAGCCCTCACCAAGCAAGGAGGAAGAATGCGTAGAAGGTGGGGATGGGGATGATACTGAGTCTTCTACGAATGAGCCAAAAACTAAGTCGCTGTCCCGTGGTGGAAGAACTAACTGGGATTTGGTTGTTCAGAAGCTTTTCAAGAAATATCCGTTGGGAGAAATGCTATTGAAGAAGGACGATACAGTTGCTTCAAAATAACAATTCTTCTCTCTCAATGTGTCATTATTTATCGAAAATGTATGCTTTAGAGGTTAGCGCTTCATGAGTATTTTGCTCCTGGTTCTGCCTGAGGTTAGATCTTCTTGATTATTTTGCTTGTCGGGTTCTTTTGTTGTGATATTCATTTTTCTGCGAGCTTCAGCTTCTACATAATTATCTGTAAAAAAGCATTGGTGAAATTGTGTTCAGCCCCTGGTTCCCTACCCATGAGGGGTACTTTTACATGTCAAACTACAGAGAGCTACAAAGAATGTTGATTTTTTTTAAAAATCTGTTTGTAAAGAATCTGTACTTTTGTTATTTTACTTGCTGTCTGCATTTGCTATTTTAGGTTGAATGTTTAACAAATGACAGGCCAAGGATAGAAAAATCGATCTGAGAGCCTCAATCATAGATGATGATTTAAATCTGATATGAACAAAACTGTAGAGATTTTGGTGAGGATGCCAAAGACAACAGCTTCAATATGTTGCGTTTAGGGAGGAATCAGATGTTAGATTCCTAAGTTTCAAATGCAATTTGAAGTAAACAGCATTCGAGATCCTGACTACAAAGAGACAAAAGCAACATGTACAGTAGAAATTCATTCTCAGTTGGCGGGCAAGCCATTGTTTACATCGTTTCTCACAAACCAATTCCATTAAGATTATTCAACGTTAGAAGGGCAGAAAAAAGAGCAATATAGCATTTATAGATTTGTTTACACCAGTTCCAAAGAAACAGAAAGTTGTTACATAAATGGCACTGGACCAATGAATTTGCTTAAAGAAGACTTACCCATAACCACAATTAACTGCAGCAAAAACCTCTAGCAGGCAGACCTCATATGCCAATTTTATTGGGAAAAAGCTTGGGACCCCAATTTACCTTGACTCCCAAATGTGTGTGACTAGTTTATGTGTGTTTTTGTTTTTGTTTTTGTTTTTTTTTTTGCCTAAATGCACGTGGTTCATCATATTGTGCCTAAATGCACCAAGTTACATTGTATTGATTTATTAGTTGGACAATCTTTATATATGAGAATCACCTACCTACATATATAGGTGGAATGCAATCACATGAGATTTGAAATAAATATCAAAATACTTAAACCATGCCACAAATATCACATTCATAATCAAGTGATTTCATTTAGGAGGAGGATTTCTTCGGTTTAAAATTTAAATTGAAAGGGACTATTTGGGTTTGTAAGGCTCACCATGAGTCTTATTTTGATTATCCGAACAGTTTATTTTATCAGACACTTAGTGTATTTCATTCACAAAAAAAAATTAAGTTGATCTGATAACTGTAATTTGTTCAATTTACTATTTTTGTCATTAAAAAAAAATATATTTTTGAAAAATACAATTAGCGTCCATTTTTTCAATAAAAAAAATGATAAATTGAATAAATTACAGTTATAAATCGACCTAATTTTTTTTTGTAGATAAAATACACAAATTGTTCAGTAAAATAAACGATTCAGATCATCGAGACTTGTGATGGGCTCAATAGATCCAAACAACTCCCTTCCATCTAAATGTTAGACTAGAGAGAATCCTCTTCCTTTGATTTAGCCATGAATCATGAGAGCAAATATAATCTTATCTTCAACACTTTCTCTCAGCTTGAAAATTGATGATTGAATGAGGGTGGTTATTTGATAATTTAAAAATATAATTATGTGACATTTTATAATAGTATGATTAACTAATAAGATAAAATATTAATTATTTATATTAAATAATATAAATAATGAAAAAATGATAGTTGATGAATATGTGTTGTGAAATGACGTTGATTGTTGCCCAGACACTCCATTAATTGTTGAAGTATGTACGGAATGACAGGTGCAAAATTGCTGGATATCAGGAAGCAAAATTTTGTGAAAATTTTACACTAGGAGGTCGACCCACCTCCTTGTTTACTCAGTAAAAAAAAATTGGAAAAGATTGAACTAGATTTTCATTTTTTGCATGGGCCAGCCGTCCGCCCGATCGATCGGTAGTTCAATGAAAAGCCAAATTACTTTGGTGGAGCAAACGATATCAAATAGAAGAAATCGTTTTTTTTTTTACTCAGATTTAATAAAAAATCTGATGAATCATTGGAAATGTTCTAAGAGCATTAAAATTAAAATAGAGTTTTAATGAAAATTCTATTTAGGTAACTGTGGGGACATATTTTCTGAATACCAACACGTGGCATGGTGACGCCGACGTGTCAGCCGAGGTGCCGTGTGCCCTGGTAGTTAAGCCGAGGTAATCTCGGAGAAGCCGAGGTCATCTCCGAAGATGTCGGAATCCGAAGATAAGGGACAAGAGTCCTGAGGAAAAGAGGGGACTTAGTTAAGATAAGGATAAAGCTCTTAGGGAGTTTATCTCTATCTCTTAAAGAGTCCAGAGTAAGCACTAAGATTGGAGTTCATAGAAGTCATACTTCTAGTTGGACTTGGATTAAGTATATTATAAAAGAGAGGCACCCCGTGGGTCTAAGGTATGCAATTCATACTTTGAATATTCAGTTTAGTACTTGATTATTCTTGAGAAACATACTGACTTGATCGTCGGAGTGCCCCCGGGTGGAAGAACCACCGCCGGAACTTTTTCTTTCTGTTACAGGTTGCTAAAGCCATCTATTCTACCGGTACTCTGCTGCTGATCACTAAACGGGCAGTGTGGTCAGATTTCTACCCACACAATTTGGCGCCGTCTGTGGGAACGAAGGAAGAATAGATGGCCAGTAACGGACAGCAGGGAAACATTGGGGACGATACTCCTTCTGGGAGCAGCAGACCAATTAACCTTGACGCCGAAGGAGACAATCACAATACAGAAGCCCATGACCAGGGTCACAGGGAGAACGACGATATCCAGGAAGGTGACACAACAAAAAGATCAAACCAAGGAAAATACTACAATGAAGACAACCTCCAGGTATGGAGGGACAGGTGCCTACGCAGAGACGAGGAAGTAAAAGAATTAGCAAACAAGTTGGCGGCCCTCCAGTCGGTCGTCAACTTCATGATGCAGAACAATGTTATGCAACCACCATACCCGCTGCAAAATACGCCGATGCCAGCAACCAACACCCAGAAAGGTGGAGGAAAAACAATCCCCGACGCCCCTCAACATACCAGGAGCGGCAGGCATTCTCACCGGTCTTCCAGGGAAGTCGGACGAGAAAGGCCAAGGCAAGAGGAGTCCCGAAGGACGCAACACATGAAGAATCCAGACCCCAAAGAACATCGACATGTTCAGGGGCAAGTACTCCACTTTGACACAACCCATGAAGACATGAACCTGGAAGGCGACACGTCAAAAAGAACAAACCAAGGAAGGTATTACAATGAAGATAACCTCCAAGTATGGAGGGACAGGTGCCTACGAAGGGATGAGGAAGTAAAAGAACTGGCGAACAAGTTGTCGGACCTTCAGTCAGTCATCAACTTCATGATGCAGAACAATGTTATGCAGCCACCCTACCCGCTGCAAGACACACCGATGCCAGCAACCAACACCCAGAAGGGTGGAGGAAAAACAATCCCCGAGGTGCCCCAGCATACCAGGAGCGGAAGGCATTCTCACCGGCCTTCCAGGGAAGTCGGACGGGAAAAGCCGAGGCAAGAAGAGTCCCGAAGGACACACCACAGGAGGAATCCAGACCCCAAAGAACATCAACATGTTCAGGGGCAAGTACTCCATTTTGACACAACCGAGGAAGAAAGACCCAAACGGACACACCTCGAGGCCGAAAGCAGTGTGCCAAAAAGATTAAAATCCAAAGACAGCCGAGCCCCAGGGAGGAGCAAAGAAGATCTGAGGGACTACCTCAAAAGGAGGCAGCAGAATGCGGAAGCTGAGGTAAACTCCCCAGTAAAACCGAAGATAGCCTTCTCGGTGGAACTGGATAAATTCGAACCGCCCAAGAGATTCAGCATGCCGAGGTTTCAAATCTATGATGGCAAGTCAGATCCAAACTTTCATGTTGGGCTATACCTAAATTCAATGGCACTATATAGCGGGAACGAGCCGTTGCTCTGCAAGGTATTCCCCTCATCCTTTGGGGAAATTGCATCTGATTGGTTCCACAAGTTACCAAAAGGAAGCATAAAGACATGGGAAGGCTTGGCCGAGATGTTTGTGGCCAGGTTCGTGACCAACAAGCTGCAACCCCTGAGGGTTAATGCTTTGATGGCCCTAAGAATCACCAAAGAAGAAGGCCTTAGGGCCTACGCAAAGAGGTACTACGAGGTGTTCAACCGAATACCTGAATGCAACCAGGAAGTAGCAGTCGTGTCTTTCAAAAACGGCCTGAAAGATGATTGCCCACTACGGAAGTCTCTGGCAAGAACATTGCCAAAAAACATGGAGGAACTCATGGCAAGAATTGAGAAATACGCCAGGGCCGAGGAAGATACATCGGGAAACAAAGAGGTAAAACAAGAAAAGGGAAACGGCTCGCCGAAGCAAGGCCGCGTCAACAATGGGCCGACCAAACAGGAAATAGAATTGAGAAATAAACAGGCGGTAACAACGGTATTTCGGATCCCAATCCATAAAATCTTGGATCGGATTCAAAATCAACCTTACTTCAGGGCTCCGGCAAGAGCACTAGGGGAATTCATGGGAAAAAACGTCGGCAGACGTTGTGCCTACCACAATGAAGAAGGGCATCCAACTCAAGGTTGCAGAGCCTTAAAAGCACACTTGGAAGACCTAGTAAGACAAGGCCTTCTGAGGGACCTGGTCAACGAGGCCAGAACAAGAGAAGAGCAGGCAAGGCTGCCTCAAGCACCAGCAGCACCCCCTCCCCCAGCACAGCTACCACAAGCAGGAGAACCGAGGGTGGTTAATGTGATCCACTCAAGGGTCAACGAAAACGAAGTCAGAGGAGAAACCCAGAGGGTAAGACATTTACAGCATATCTACCAAGTAGGGGAAAAGAGACATCGGCCAGAAGAATGCCAAGGGCCAATGATAGCCTTTACTGAAGCCGACGATTATCTTTGAGAGATATACTGACTTGATCGTCGGAGTGCCCCCGGGTGGAAGAACCACCGCCGGAGCTTTTTCTTTCTGTTTCAGGTTGCTTAAGCCATCTATTCTGCTTGTGCTCTCCAGCTGATCACTAAACGGGCAGTGTGGTCAGATTTTCACCCACACAATTTGGCGCCGTCTGTGGGAACGAAGGAAGAATAGATGGCCAGTAACGGACAGCAGGATATTGGGGATG